GGGGAAGGAGACGGTGCCTGGTGGTCCATTTGGCTTGAGAGGTCATGACAGAGGAGGAGTCCTTTGGGGGCTGGCAGCCGAGACGGTACTTCCTGACGGTGGCAGAGGCCCCAGCTCCTTGACGACCCATTTCTGGAGTATAAATCTGGAGGTTGTCCTGGGGATCTCAGCCTCGAGCCTCTCTATTCAGACTGTCCAGTAATTCTGTCAGCCAACTATATGCATTAATAAGTGCACTTTGTGCCCAAACTGGCCAGAGTGGATTCTGTTATCTCCGACTAAAACGCGTGACCCATAGACCCGTCCTGAGACTCGCGGGCAAGGACGCCCTGCCCCCAGCCTGTGCCAGGCATGCCTAGGAGGGCTCATACGTTTTCCCGGCCCCATTCTTGGAGGGGCTGGGCAGGAGGGGAGGGGCAACGAGAAGAGAGAGTTGTCATTTCCTTCTCACCCTGCACTGGTTGGCCTGGCTCTGCTCTCCGCTCTCTGCAGGGGTGAGGGGAAAATCCTGTGTTTCAGCGGCCCAGGGTCATCTTTATTCTCAAATTCATTCAGCTTGGGTTTGCTGCCGCTCGAAGAGCGGGAGCCCCCAGGACACTCTTCTCCCAGTATGTCCTGCAGCCCTGTGTTTGGGCCCAGTTCAGCTCCCTGTGTTCTGTCTGGACTCTCCGGAGCCACGAGTGGCACACCGCAGCCCCTCGGCCGTTCCTTGGGCCTTCGGGACTCTTCGCCCTGGCGGTCGCCTTCCTCTGGGTCTGTCCTCACCCTGTGGCTTCAGAGCCTGGAACTATGGGGGCTGCCTTCTCTCCAGAAGTTCTGGTGGCTGTGGTTTCTCCGACTGTGACTCAGAAGCTCTTCGTCAGTCTGTCGTCTTCTGTTTCCCGGAGGACCAAGTCCCTCGAGAGAGGGACAAGTACAGCTGACCCTGTCCTGTGCGGTGCACTGTTCCGAGCGCAGACGCCACACTCTTCTCCCAGGGCTGGAGAGAAACCCAGAGACCTGTGACCCTGGGCAGCAAGCCCGGGCTGTAACCATCTCTCTGAAGCCCGTATAACCCTCTCCTCGTATCTCCCTTCCGATCCAGGAAGCCACTCATCTGGGAAACAAATCCGGTAGTTTATAGTTTCACTTTCTTTCCCTCCCCCATCTAGCAAGGACCTTGGTGGTGCCTTGATACGGAATGCACTTCACCTTTTCCTGAGTTAGATGTAATCAATAACTGTTAAGTACTGCTTTCCTTTTTATTTTTTCTTAAATTTTTAAATTTCTTTTAACGTTTATTTATTATTGAGAGAGAGAGAGCATGAGCGTGGAAGGGGCAGACACGGAATCTGAAGCAGGTTCCAGGCTCTGAGCTGTCAGCACAGAGCCCGACACGGGGCCTGAACCCGCAACCTGCGAGATCATGAGCCGAGCCGAAGTCGGACGCTTAACCGACTGAGCCACCCAGGCACCCCAAGTATTGCTTTCCTTTTGACTTACTTTTAAACCCCGTGAGTGAAAGTAGTCTCTGTTGTGCACCATCTTTGCCTCCTAGAATCCTCTTAAAGGACCGTTTAGCCCAACTCCTTGTTTGCCTTGCAGGCAATAAAGCATAACCTGTTCTTCAAAACCTCTTGGGTCTATGAATTCTGCCGTCCGGCTTCACTGCTTATAAGATGTAGAGGCAGCCAAAGCCCTGGCAGGTTCTGTTGGCTCTGGCTTACGCTCATAACTACCTCATGCTCACCACTGACTCACTGCCAGGGCCTTTGCGAACCGGTGCTCCAGGTTCTGCACTAGCCAAGATACTGGTCTTATTAAGGGGAGACTATGTTATGGATGACCTGGTGTTCTGTGGAGGTGGTCCCACGGGCATGTGCTTCTCTCGTCCTCTTTACGAGGTCGCTGAAAACATCTATGGGCAAGCGGCAGCTTACTCTGAGTACCGAGGGCCCCACTGCAGCGGGGTATGTAAGGAACTGCGGCTAAGGGAATTGGGGCCAAAAGGCTGGTCTTTTGTTCAAGTTCAGGAAATGTCCAGCCCTTCCCCCGTAACTCTGGCATGATAGAGGAGTAAGGCACCAGTCAGCCTTCTGCATTCCGTGTCATCTGCTTTTACAATGCTGAACGGTTGCCAACAAGCTGCACAATGTTTGTAGTTAATTAACATCCATGGTCTTTGGTGTGCCTCCCCTCCCTTTCCCCTGCCAACAAAAACGAAACGAAAATGTGGGCTCTACCATAGTGGTGTCTTCTACCATACTTCCTTTCTCTTGGGATGCAGGCAAGTAATCAAACAAAATATAATGTAACCCATCTAGCATAGCAACTGTCCTGTGGCCAAGATCTATTTAGAAATGGTTTTCTCATAGGAGATTCTATACATTCTTTAAGAACCCGGTATTATTCTTAGAACTAAAAGAGGCATAAAGTATCAACGAGCCCCACTGGCTGCAACATTGGATCTTCCCAGTTGTTTTCTCCCAGTTCCAAAGCTAATGTGCTGTTTCTCCCTGTTATTAGAAACTATATTAGTTAGCATGCTGGATTAAGAAGATATCGTTACTGTAACTGGAAGGTGAGGTCTATGTTGGCCGATGTAGGGGTTCTGGCCTGTTATTGAGGACGCTGGTTCTGTCTCTCTCATGCTTAGTACACAGCATCCTGCAACCACATACATCATTAGTTCATCCTAAATCTGGTTCCCTTTGTTGATTTTCAAGGCAAAAAGGGCTTTCTGGATATATATCTTATGTTCAGCAGTGAAGAAGCTCTCTAACCATGGAATGTAAGTGCTTATCTTCAGTCTCTAGTTGGATCTTGTCTGCTCGCAGTTGGTGGGGTCAACTTTAGGCATGTACCAACTCCTGGACCATTAATGGTTGCAGGGAATTTCAGTGCTTTGGTTGGGATCAAACGAATTCTGACCCTGGAGCCCATTTAAAGGGCTCAATAATTTAATCAAAATGAGAAGTCTCTTAGGAAGAAGGAAGAGGAAGCTCCTATATTGTGTAGGCAGTCAACAGTGCCCGCTACAGGAGTCTCCTTTTTTTTTAATTTTAATTTTTAAGGTTTATTTATTTTTGAGAGAGAAAGAGAGAGCAGGGGAGAGGCAGAGGGAGAAGGAGACGCACAATCTGAAGTAGGCTCTAGGCTCTGAGCTGTCAGCACAGACCCTGACACGGGGCTCAAACCCACAAACCATGAGATCATGGTCTGAGCTGAAGTCAGACGCTTAACTGAAGTCGCCCCCCACCTTTTGTCTCCTTTTCTTGACTTTATGGCCCACTTGGTAGGTAGGGCAACTGTTAACCGTTGCTTAAGTATTTCTCCTGCTCCAGTCATCAGAAAAACTGGTTACTTAAAAACATTTTACGACACACACTTTTATAGACTATTTCCCACCAAAAACATTTGCCCTAGTAATCCCACGTTAGTGAGTTTTGGATTAACACTGCCTAACATTTCCTGGTAATCCGTCTGTGTGATCTTCTAACAATAGCATCGATAAAAAAGTACTTGCAGTTTTGGAGACATTTACAATAAGACGATCTTTTCAAATAGGTGTTTTTACAGAACACTGTTACTGTTTTTTTCTGTTGTTTTTCCACCAGTAAAACTTACCTAGATTTCCTTCAATAGTTTGCTCTTTTGACTAGCTGACGAATGGGACTGTAAAAGTCAGCTAGGAACTTGAAGTTGAAGAGGCCCTCTGTCTGTTGCAAATTTCCAGTCTAGGTGGTTGTGTCTTTAGAGCTGTATTATTGGGACATGACTTAATGCCTTCTAAAAATAGGCAAGCTGAATATCAAATGTCCTATTTTTCAGGAACTGAATATTTAATGAGGAAATATTTTATCAAAGTAATTGGAATTTCTGCCCTTGTTTTTTTTTTCCTGGTATTGTTGGTCACTGCACTTAGCGTTTGGAAAACCCTCGTGCTATCTTGTATAGAAAAGTGAAACCTAGTTCCCATTTTAGGACTTGCCTTTTAAGTTAGGTGAATGCCTTGCACACTTTTAGGACTTGACCATATTTTCAAGGTGACCGACTTATGCCCACGAGACCGACTCATTGACATGAAGTTGGTGATGTTGAGGTAACCATCACTTAAGGTTATGGTAGATTCCACGGGCTGCTAGACGTAGCCACAGAATGTCAGTATACAGGGTGCCTGGGTGGCTTAGTAGGTTGAGCGTCCGGCTCTTGGTTTTGGCTCAGGTCACAATCTTGTCATTGCAGAGCCTGCTGGGGATTCTCTCTTCGCCCTCTCTCTCTGCGCCTCCCCTGCTCGTGCTCTTTCTCTCTAAATAAACAAACAAACAAGCAAACAAACAAACTTAAAAAAATGTCCGTATATATATCTGTTTACCCTCAGATTAGTCAGTGTTCATCTTAAAGAAATTCTATCAGTGGTCTTCAAGTTTTGCCTCTCTGAGATTTCTCCCAAATACAGATTTTCAAGAATGGAATGAGAAAGAAACTTGAAAAGTCAAAAAAGTAGAGAGCATGTTGAGGGTAACAAGTCGGAGGTACTTATTGTCTAGTAAGAAGGGGCTTGTCATGCATGGCCATCTAACAATGGATGTCACATGCCATTTGGTTCCTATCACAATTCTGTGTCCCTTGCCTGTGGCAGTAAGCCCAGGTATGAAGGTGATCTGATCAGAGTTTGGAGGCACTTAGCAGGAGTCCAGATTCCAAAGTTAAAAACTGGCTCGAACTGAGCAGAAATCAGACTGGACAAGATGCCATGCCAGGGCAGAATTTTTTCTCTCACTGTCTATCGGGAGTATATCTGAGAATGCTGTCTCTGTACGTGTCCTCACCCACTCCTATTGACAGGTCTGTGGGCAGGAATTGCACAGGAATGTGACCGAGGTTCCGCGGGCTGCTTTTGGAGCTATCTGCTGCCGAGCTGCATTAGTATCCACCCTGAGACAAATGCTTTAATACTAAACATAAATTATAACCTGTGTCCTTATTTATCTTTCCTCGAGTTAGAAGTAAATTTTTAAAGAAATCTTTGTGGGGGTGCCTGGGTGGTGCAGTCGGTTAAGCGTCCGACTTCAGCCAGGTCACGATCTCACGGTCCGTGAGTTCGAGCCCCGCATCGGGCTCTGGGCTGATGGCTCAGAGCCTGGAGCCTGTTTCCGATTCTGTGTCTCCCTCTCTCTCTGCCCCTCCCCCATTCGTGCTGTCTCTCTCTGTCCCAAAAATAAATAAAAAACGTTGAAAAAAAAAATTTAAAGAAATCTTTGTGGCTCAATGAGGCTGAAAACTCAGTAAAGAGTTTTGACACTTATTACTACTTTTCCTTTAAAAATCACTGTGATTTCTTTCCAGTTAAGTATGTGTTAGGGGGGTTGTAATTGAGACTGATGGTCTAGTCTCTAGCCCTGTCACAAATACAGAACCGTATGTATTTCAGCGGCCTGGTTACGTACGGAATTCCGTCCCACCAGCTTGGAATCAAAGCATATCTTGCCCTCATTCATTCAGGCAGCTTCCCGAGTGCTCCTTTTGGCCAGGCATGGTGGGCGGGCGGTGCTGGCCAGACAAAGAAGCTGTGGCACAGAAGGGGACTTACACACAACAGGATGTCGCACATGTGATCAAAGTAATGGAGCTTCCTTCCTATTCTGGGAGCAAAGGAAGTTTCCACTTAGGCTGGTGGGCAAGTCTGGCAAAGTTCTGCAGAGAAAGTGCCCTTGAGTTTGATCTGGAAGAAAGGTTTGCCAGGTAAGGTTTGGGTGTGGGTGTGCTAGGCAGATGTTCAGCAGGAGAGGCGTGGGCAGGTGTGCACTCGGGGTGGGGGGTACAGTGCTGGGTCGGTACTGGGAAGCTGGGCACTGGCGGTGTTCTCATTTGCACCGAAAGGACTGCTGAAGATTTCTTTAACCCTTTAACCAAGAAAGGGACTGGAAATGTTTTTTTTTTTTTCTCCTTCCCTGAAACCACATTCTCTCTCCCCCCTAAAAACTCCACAAACTGTAGTTCCTTTGGGTTATTAAAAGAAGGAGACTGAAAAGTAGCAACTTTTGTTATTCTGTCATGCAAGTTTTTTTTTTTTTTTTTTTTTTTTTTTTTTTTTTGGTCTTTTCTGTTCTCTTCTCTGTCAGTATTTGGTGTCAAGATTATCAGGAGTCCCCAAACTTTGTGGCTTTGTTTTTAAGGTATTTAGTTTATTATAGTGTATTTTACGTTATTTGCCAGATGTTGAAACAATGAATGTTCCATTTGCATAAAGGCTTGTGTTCCTTTCCTGGTCAACAAATAATTCCATTTCCACAAGTGCTTTGCCTCAAGGGAACGTGAAACTCTTAATTTTATGTTACAGTGTGTCCTTGTATCTGTTTTCAAACATTAGAAGGTCTCGAGAATGTTCTTGTTCCATGCTTCTTCTGATGACAAAAAAGAAAACGGCCTCAAATTGTATCTGTTTTCTAGGCTTACCAAGAGGTTAAGGAGTGAATCCCTGAAATCCGACTTCACAATAGATTTGAAACATGAGGTACGTCTTGTTTTCTTTTTTAAAAGTTGTAGCAACTGAGAATTCACGTGTTTTGCTATAAAAGGTGTTTTTGATTCCCTACCAGCGCATCCCTTCCCAATGCATTTATACATTTTCTCCCCACCAACGTAATTCTTCTCCAGCAAATTAGGTCTTTCTCTTTAAACTCACTTTCATCACGTAGGTGGAGAAGGAACAGTGGAAAAGGTTGCATCTGTGATTCTTGATTTTTTTTTTTTTTTTAAAGCTAGGTGGATGAGTGCAGAGGCGGATTTCTAAAAACATGCACAAATGTCGCAAAAGTACCTTTGGTCTTATTCGGTGCTTTGGTCGTACATATGCCTCGGTCGTGTCCCTGTCCTTGGCCCTCTGGGGCAGAACTGAGGCAGTTGGCCCTAAGCAGGCAGCTGCGGCATGCCAGCCTGGATGGACCCCAGCACCCCTGGCATCTAGTGGACATCTGTGACCCGTCGTCCTAGATGCAGGGGTCCCATCATGAATCATTCCTGCATCATTGTTAAGAAGGTTTCTTTGTGGGTTTCATTCACAGGCGCATCTCACTGCCTAAAACGGCCCCCCCTTTCCCTCTGCAGGAATCTGTACTTGGGACGGTGGGGTCAACCTTGACATGTGCTCCTGGCAAGCTGCCAGGAGCAAATAAGGGCACTCGCAGCACCTTACCTTCTCAGGTGTTGGAATGTGATGAAATAGCCTATTTGAGGAGAAACATACATGCAAAAAAATCATTCTTCTCTCCCATAGAAAGGAAAGAACGATTAATTGAGAGTGCAGGCCTGCCTAGATATTTCTAATGAAAAGTCAACTTTGGTATAGATACCCAGGTTCAGGAATCTATTAAAAATTAAGCACACACAGAAAATATTTCTAACCCACGTGAAAGGTATGAAGATCAGTCACAATATCTAAAAGCCCACCTCCTGGCTTATGAGCTAGCCCATCATCAGTCGCTTGGAGACTACCTGAGTGCTGCTTTCCTGGGTCCCCTTCATTCTCACTAAACACTTCCTTGAATTCTCTCTTCCTTTTCTTCATAGTTTTCATCATATGACTGTATCTCTGAATAACATAGTATGCAGTTTTTTTAATGTTTGTTTATTTTGGAAAGAGAGAGAGAGAGAGGGGCATGGAGTGTGAGAGAGGGAGGGGCAGAGAGACAGGGAGACCCAGAATCCCAAGTAGGTTCCAGGCTCTGAGCTGTCAGCACAGGGCCCGATGCGGGGCTCGAACTCAAGAACTGGGAGATCATGACCTGAGCTGAAGTCGGGCGCTTAACTGACTGAGCCACCCGGGTGCCCCCATGTCATGCAGTTTTGTATCCTTCTGGACTTCATGTAAACAGAATTGCACCAGGAGTATTGTTCTGACTTGAAACTCATCCGTGTTGCTGCGTGCAGCCCTACTGAACTTATTTTCACTGCCTGCAGTAGTCTCTCCTATGACTATATCAGTTTACTTATCCATTCTCCTGGTGGTGGGCTTCTGGATTGCCATGACTTTTCTGCTACTATAATCATTACTTCTATGAGCATTTTGGATGTGTGTTAGGACAATCCTCTGCAGGTGTTTCTCTAGGGCAGAGGTCCTTTAACTATTTTTTTTTTTTTTTGACTGTGACCCACTTTAAAAAATACATTGTTCATTGTGACCCAACATATCAGTGTGTGTTGTTATTGCGTCTTGTTACTGATCTCTAACGTGGTATTGTTGTGGTCTATAGAAATATTTTTAGGTTTGCTTTATGGCCTAGTTCATGTTTCCTTTTCATCAGTGAAGTAAAAGGTATATATGTTATAATTTGGGGGGGGGGGTGTAATATTCTCTTTATTAGATTAAAGGAGAAGTAGGTTTAATCTAATAGGTTAATCTTCCTCCTTTCCTTCTTTCTACTTTTCTCTGCTTGATCTGTCATTTATTAAGGGAGGAATGAGAAAATCTTCCATAATAATGGTGGATTTGCCAGTGTCTCCTCTTGTAACTGCCAGCTTTTGCCTTTTATATTCCGAGAGTCTGTTAACTCAATGCATACAGGCTTACAATCATTATGTCTTCTTACGAATTTACCTTTATCTCTTGTGATGCTCTTTGCCCTGATGTGAATTAAATGTGTATTTAATGTTATGAATATTTCTTTACTAGCCTTCTTTTGGTGTGTGGTTCATAATTCTCTCTTATCTTTTTCTTACAGCCCCTTTATGTCCTTATTGATTGATTGACAGAGACAGAGCATGTGCACATGTGAGCTAAAAAGGGGCAGAGGGAGAGAGAGAGAATGTCAAGCAGGCTCTATGCTCAGCATAGAGGTCTTTTTCTTAAAAAGGACATATCTTTTTTTTTTCTCTCTTCCAGTTTGCCAGTCTTTGTCTTTACATCAGGTAGCAAATTCACATTTACATTGAACATGATTACCATTATATTTGAATTGATTCCCAACACTTCGTTTTATCCCTTGCCCCTCATTTTATCTGGCTCATTTTAAAAACTTCCTTACTTTCTGGGGCACCTGGCTGGCTCAGTCAGTTGTTTCTGACTTCAGGTCACGTTCTCACAGTTCGTGAGTTCGAACCCCACATCAGGCTCTATGCTGTCAGCACAGAGCCTGCTTCAGATCCTCTGTGCCCCTCCTCCCGCCCTTCACTTGCTTGTGCTCTCTCTCTCAAAAATAAACATTAAAAAAATTAAAATGTCTGTTTTTTTGTTGTTTCTTTTCCCATTTTGTCCTTCTCTGCTATTTTGGAAGTTCAGTCTCTGTATCTGTACCTTACTGGTACTTGCCTTGCCTTACTGTACCTTCATTTAAATATTTTAACATGCATTCTTAATAATGGCTAGTTGATCACCTAAAAAAAAAATTCAGGGGACTTACAATAATTGAACTCTGATTATCCCCCTCACAATTTATATACTTCTTGTTGTCCAGCATCTTTTTAACCCCTCAAATATTATCTTTGCGTAGTTAACATTTGTATGAGCTTAATTATGTATTTGCTGGGATCATTTTTATTCTTGCTGAGGCATGTCCTTCAGAATTTCTAATAGTGAGGTCATAAATTCTCATTTTTTTCCCTTAAAAACACTTCCATTGGGGCACCTGGGCGGTTCAGTTGGCATCTGACTCTTGATCTCAGCTCAGGTCTTGATCCCAGGGTTGTGAGTTCAAGCCCTGCGTTGGGCTCCACGCTGGGTTTGAAGCCTACTTAACAACAAATGAACGAAACATTTATGTCAGCTTTGTTCTTGAAACATAGTTACCTTGTGTTTACCATCCTAGGTTGTCTGCCCTTTTCTCTCATCACAGTGGGGTCACTGCACTGTGTTCTGGCTTTTCTGTTATTGCCGTGGCAATTGATGTGGGAAATAAACATCAGTCTCATGTGGCTTCTTTGTAGGTAATCTGCCTTTGTCTTTGCCTGCTTTTAAGATTGTTTCTTTGGCGTTCTGCAGTTTCACTATGAGATGTCTAGATGTACACTTAAAAAAAAAAAA